CGAGATTGAACGAATGGGATTTGTGTGTGGCGCAAGAAGATCAAGTCACTAGGCTCAGGATCCCTCGACACCTCGTCCTTCCCTTGGTAGTCCCCGACGACTCGCCGATGAGCCGCACCTACACAGACTATGTGAATGGAGCGCGGCGAATGCTTGAAAGCGGTGTCCCCGTGTCCGATGTCCTGGGCACCACAGAGAAGGTGGCTGTTGATTTGTTCTTCCGCCCCCGTCGAGCGACGGACAAGTTCGACTGCGCGTCGTGGGCATGCGAAGTCTCGCGAAGTTTTGACAACGACATCTTTGTCCGCCTGGCTTCGGCCTATTTGCTCACACATATGATGCGAGTGAGTTGGAAAAGTCCAGATCTACATTGCAGGTCAAAAGCTGACTAGAATTTGCATAGTGGCTGCTTGTCCCTACGCTCGAACATTACCAGAAACTCCCTGACATGATGAAACCGACGCCGGCACAGTGCATGGTTCCACACATCGGCGCGATCGAAACAATACCATTGTAAGTAGTCTCTTTTTCTTGTGGCGGTAATTGTTGTGTGAGAGAGAAAAAGCTCATATGAACCACAGACCTCCCGTCCGGGATGCCGCAATCCACAAACTGCGGGACTGGCTCACGCCTTTGATCCAGGCGGAATGGGGTGTTAACTGGCCTCACAGTATCGACTCGGCTGTTGAGCAGGACGCATTGATGGGGGCCACCGTCTTAACCCAGAAGTTCATCGACCATGTGGTCATTTACGATCACTGGAGTGTCGGGAGCCGCTTCTTGAACAGCTTTCCCGAGGTGGCAGGCCGAATCCGGATCCACGAACTGGGGTAATAGTCCATGACGGGGATTCTGGGAATTTTGGGGGTGGCTTCTCGTCCACATTGTCCACGTACAAGTACAAGTGCATGCTGGTGGTGGTCGCCGAGAGCAAAGAGCCGCGTGTGCTCTTTCTTGCGAGTCGCCACCCGCCACGTGGCAGACGTGGTACTGGTAGTCAAACTCGGACTCGAGATCGTTGATTTGATGACCTACCTTGTACAAAATGACAGCGACTCGAATCTGAGCAGCAACGAGTCGAGTCCAGTCGAGTCGAGTCGAGGCGTGTTAAGTTGTCGAACAAAACGAAGCCCGGAATTTATATCCAGTCCAGTCAGGGATGCTTGCTGCCGAACCCGGTTTTTCCTCCCCAAGACCAAGGCGGACCGAGCTGGAAAGTGTCAGGGCTAAACAGACGGAGGGACTGTCCGTGAGGGACATGACACGGGCAACGGTTGGATCAGGGAGAAAACGGCGAGAGAGCCAGGCTAGGCCAGGCCAGCCCTGCCTAGCCCAGTAACGGGAATGGTATACCAGGTATACTCGTACTAGGGAAGGGTTGGAATGGATGGAACTTGCCGGGTCCAAACAAACAGGCGAAAAGCCAAGGCGACAGCGATGGGAGGTCTGCGGCTTACCCCAGATACAAGGACCAGTATGATTACGAGAACAGGAATCTTTTGATGAGAGTATCATGCGATGGAAACGATGGTCATGAGACACACCAGAGTCCCCTTTACGTCAAGGCCTTTGAGGGGGAAGGGGGCGCCATTTCCTGGATCGGAGACTGGACTGAACTAGCTGGACTTGACCGGACTCTGAGGAATTGTCTTGGTATTCAAAACAGTTGAATGATGGATAAGACGATAGGATGATGAGACGATGCAATGATGGCATGATAGGATGGACAGCACGATCGAGGACGACACATGTCGGACTGATGGTTTTCTTTTCCTTCTGCAGAGACCAAAGAGATGAAACGAGAGGGGAGAGAGAGACGAGAGTGGAGTGGAGCCTTGGTCCTCATGACCCTGACTCTTGACGAGATACGACAACCCATCCATGATGGTGAACAAGCAACGACAAACCTGAGACAAGAGATACAAAGTACTCGTCCTTGTCCTCGTACAGGCAGGAGAACACGAGCATATGAGGCGTAATTGATTGATGATCATCTGACCTGCCGAAGCCCAAGTCGAAGCCGGGCTGGCACGGCCGGGTCGGGGTGGTCGGGTCGGGTCACCTGACCTAGTCTGTATTCCTCTGATGAGGCCACGAGTCATCAGAGTACAAGGCTAGACTCCCTTTTACTTGTACAAGTGCTTGTACATACTTCGTACTTGGACAGAGGACGTCCTCAGTGTCTCAGTCCTACCTGGCTTCTCAATTCGTCCTAGCTCATCCTTCTTTCTTTGGCCTTTACTTGGTCTTTGCTTTTGCTTATACTCATGTCGCCCATACCGAAGTGGCCGAGCCCCCGAGTCATTTATCGTGATTTCATTGGTTCTGCGCCACAGACAGAGCGGGCTGGCTCTTTACTGGTAAGGGTTTGAGGGGTTTTTAGTCGGTGGTGGCGAGTAAAGTGGCGAGGGTATTGGAGGACGCGAGAAGAAGAAAAGGAAATATGAAGGGGTTAACAAGGGGAAGAAGAAAAGAAAAAGGACAAAAAGGGCGAAAAGAGGTGGGATGAGAGAGAACGAAAGGAAGGGATGGGAAATGAGTGAGTTGAGGACTTGCGACCTAGGGTAGGATAAGAGTAACAGTAACAGTACCACAGAGGTGATGGGAAGCATGGGCACTTTGCTGCACAATGTACCTCGTACCCGCAGGGAGATGATAAGAGGGACGCGGCACCAGGAGAGGAGTACGACTACAGCACCAGGAGCCAGACACCAGGCACCCCGCAGCTCCAACAACAGCTGTAGTTGACGACTCGCTCAAGGGAGTGTCTTTGTCTCGCCGCGGAGGTACCACCAACCCACCAGTACAAGTATTCAGTCCTTAATACTCTAAGTAGGTACCATGCGAGCTGCTCGTGTCCAGGTCCCTCACACATGTACAAGGAGGCGATACGAGGTCAGGTACCTCGTACTCTGTAGAAAGGTGTAATGCGAGCGAGTCCCGAGTCCTCGGTACCGCGCCCCCCCAAAAGGTTTCGAGGCGTCAGCAGTTGCCGCGGGTGCCGCGTACGAGTCCTTGTACAAGTAAGAAGCACTGCTGCCTGGACCACTGCTGGTTGGTACACTACTCGGTACTCGTAGGCTGGGCTGACGCCTTGTTTGAACCTAGGCAAGTGCCTGGCTAGCGTAGGTACAAGCACTTGGCAGGTATACGAGGTTTAAGTCATACCGAGTGCTCGTAGCCACTAGGTAGCCACCTACTTAGCGACAATGAGTACGAGGTATGTAGTCACCACTGTATGTCACCAGGTACAGGTAGCCTCGTATTGAGTGCGAGGACCATAAAGTATAATTCACAGTGGCGACCTGTAAACAAGAATTACTACTCTAGGTACGCAGGTACCGCCACTCGTGGCTCACTACTCTTGGCTTCTCCGTCCCCGCTGCTTCGAGAGGCTTTACCTAAGTTCTTGCTCTGCCTTGTGCGTGGCCTTGGCTTTTTCTTAACCTCCCGTCTTCCACCCCGGAAGGTACAGCCTGGCCTTGCACGGCTGAACTCACTGAACTTAGTTAACTTAGTTACTCATCCCAGTCATTCGCCCACGACGTTGATGCCTTGTGAGGTTAGGTTTTAGTGACAATCTGTACTTGCCTAAAACTGCTACGCGTACTCGTGGATACCAAACGGTCTGGGAGCGGGAAGGACCATTTCTGCCTTGTCGAGTAGACACATGTAGCTACAAAGTATACATCGACTCGGTACATCGAGGTACCTCGTATCTGGCTGTCTCGGGCTGTCTGCCTATCCTACTTGCTTACCTAGCTCGGCTTTCTACTTGTCCTTGTCCATGCTAGCATATTAGTTGCCTAGGTACCTACTGGTACTTGGACTACGAGGTCCTTTGGTGTCCACCGGTCTACCTGTACCTGCGCCTTTATCTGTCCTCGTACTCGATACAAGACCCTAACCACGGCTATCCGGCTACCTACAAGTCCTTGTACTGAGTGATTTAGTGACTTACTCACTCACAGAAGGGGCAAGGCACAGAGAGCATGGAAGAGTACCTGCAAGGCACACTACACTACCGAGTACACTACCGAGTTGCGAGTACCGAGTACACTGCTTATGTTCGTATACCTCTAGGTCTCGGTATCTCCGGGTACCTCCGGGCCTCTGGGTCTGGCATGCCCGGTGCCCGAACTGTGCCTGACTAGCTGGCTGCCTGACTGCCTGACTGCCTGGCTCCCTGCCCCGGCACCTCATCGACCGAGACTTTGTTATGCATTGCATCGACGAGATCGAGATGACAATGACGACGACGACGAAAACGTCGACATCGACATCGACTTCGACCATCGCCATCGCGGGAACAGAGACGAGAATACTCCCTGCGTGTTACGAGCCTACCTCTGTCATATACATACACCCGTATGCAGAGGAACCGTGTCTCTCAGACTAAATCTCACTCTCACTCTCGGTTGAATTTCAAAATCAGTTCACTTGCAAATTAAATCAGATCAGATAATTGTCATTGTTTCCTCTACCATTCTCAAACCAGGAGAGAGGGTAGAGAACAAAGTACCTAGGTATGTATCTATCTATCTCAGATAGCCTCGCCAAGCCACGACGAGTCGATCGCCGTGACGTTCTAACAAGAATATTAGGAGGAAGAGTAGTGAATGGCAGTGGCAATAATGGTGGCAATGTCGTAGTAGTAGAGGGGCTCATGGTGCAAAAGTACAGTCAAAGAAACTTGCGTGGTGCGCGTACGCGTGCGCATGCATGTTGCGTGTGCGTAATGCGTATGAGCCTGCGTGGCGATGGTATCGTGGTATCTTGCAAAGACAAAAATGACGGAGCAGCGACGATATTGTTCCCGCCCTAACCTCTTACTCCTCCTTTCCCATAGATATCCTTCCCTGTGTCATGTGTGTGTATGAGTGTGTCTGCGTGACTATGTGTGAGTAATAGTGTCGTAATGTATTATTCCTTATTCCCTTTGCAGGTTCACCAACGCCAGCTCGACCGAACAAGAAACCTCCCAGGCAATTAGGTACGCTTCAGCCGACGCCACTGCCAGGCATCCGGCTCTGCATGTGGTAGATCGCCTGCGGTGGCAAACTGCGTAGCAAATTCTGGAGGCGATGGATCTCGGCAGCCTGGCGGCGGATAAAATCCTCTTTCTGTCGCAGCTCATCCCTGAGATGTTGGATCAACTGGCTCTCGGCGCTTCCGACAATGTTTTCAATAGGAGTGGGTGCAACCTCGCTGCCCACTTGTAGATGTTGTTGCTGCTGATGCTGCTGAGGCTGTACTTGTAGCCCCTGCACCGACCCTAGCATGTCTGTAGCCGTCGAGATCCTCCGTCGCTTGACTGCGGGCTCTTGGGCCATGGTCGAGCTCGACGCCGTGCCCACAACAGGCTGCGAGGCCGCGTCGCCTGGGCCGTGATCGGACAACTCTTCCAAGTGTCGGCGCCGTTTGTGCTCCTCGAGGTTTTCCTTCCTGGTGAAGCCGGTGCCCGAGCTCCGGTTACAGTTGGGAAATGGACAGAACAGCGGCTGCTTGGTCGACAGGTGCATTTTGTGAACTTCCCTTTGATGCCTCAGGAGCCCGCCCGAGTAGGTAAATCCGGGATTGAGTTCGCAGCCGGCCTCTCGACACTTGTAAGGCCTCTCGTGTCTGTCCATGTGCTTGTTCCATTCGCAGACGCGTTTGAATGTTTGGTTTTTGCCACAACAGTTAATGTGGTCGCATACCATCTGGCCTTGCTCGTTGCGGGGGGGTGACCTGGTGCGACGGAAGGCTCCCTGAATCTTGACGGATGTGACGGATGGTTCCGGCAGCGAAGAGATCATCTCCTCTGCCATGATGGTGATGTGCGCTTTCTTCTGGTCCGGCGTGGATGTGGATATCGATGTGTATGTCGTTGTATCGTAGTCGCTTGGAGGCGAGACTGGATAGTTATCTCTCATAATCATGATGGTCGGTGGTTGGACGGGAGATGTGAGATGGTAATGCTGAAGCTGATGCCGATGAGAGTGAAAGTGATAGTGATGGTGATGCTGAGCTGGACACTGGGCGCGATGACAGTTCAAGCGAGCGACATGGCAGAAAGTACCTTGAATCGCCTGGAGATATAGTGTGGAAGATGGCTTGACAACACGCTCTGTTGCCTGCAAGGCTGTGCAACATGGTGATTCGAAAATCAGGTATGCCTCACCAGGTTAAGTATCTGGCCTTTTGGAAATAGTAGACGCGCGAACGCGAGCTTGTCCCAGGACCGTGGCTTCCAGGAGCAAATCATGCGCCACACTGCGGCGAGATCATAGCGACCAAGAGGGGGGGTGTGGAGGGGGGAGGGGAGTGTTGGCGCAACCTGCATTTTATAGCACTAAGGTTCCATCAACCCATACAAGTTACAAGTACAGCTGACCTGCATGCCTGACGAGAACTGTCGTGGGAGCCTGGAACCAGGGTTGTGTGTCGAGCATCTGAAGACCAACTCCCAACCGGGGAGGGGGGATGACGATGTCTCCATATTTGGCTAATCCACATGACTATTACGAGTCGCCGTCGCGGTTCCAAGAAGGAATCCTCTTGTCCCCCAAGTGATGAGTCATTTCATTGGGCAGCTCCTTGGGGGCAAAGGAATGGCTCACGATGGTTCAAAAATGGCCATGGCACGGATGGACAAAAGGCAAAAAAAAAGAGAAGTAGTAGTTGGCCATGAGGGAGCAAAAGTTCCCCGACTCACCGTGCAGGCATTTACCGTCTGGCGTTTCCTAAACATCTGTCCCTCCCTCTCCCCCCAAAAGTTCCACGCCTCGCTAACAACAGGCCACCATCGCCTCCTCTCCCTCGCTTCTCTTCTCCTCCTTTCTCAGACACTCGAACAGACCACATCCACCCAGATTTGCCACGAAAAATAGAGGTCGGGACATACCGAGGTCTGGCAAACCAGAGGCAAACAAACCATCTGCTGTTACGACGCCTTGGCAAGGCGATTGGTGGGTGAGCGGTGGTGGTGCGACATGACCATGGCAACACGGTACCTCCAAACCTGAGGAGATTTGGGTTCGAGGGGGAGAAGAGGCTGGAGGCTGGATGCTTCCACCAATCGCACGAAAAAAGGAAAATCAAGCTAAATTTGAGAGGTGTATTCGTAACCATAATGAAGTATGGCTGATTCGCCCCAGATGAAGGAATCCAGATCTTACTCAGGACGAACAAAGTGACGGCACCAACGGAACTCCCTCTTTCTCCGTCTCTCTCTTCCTCTCGAAAAGCTCCGTTCCGAGCAAAGCTCAGCTTATGTACGAAATCGGGGCCAACGAGGCACAGCCCTGCTGATCCGCTCGCCGAAAGGAAGGCTGTCAGCCCGGCCCCTGTACAAGTACGGAACATATAAAGACTACCGCATGACCCCCAAAAGAGACCAACCCCCGGTCGGTCATAGCGAACGGCCGCACACCCCCTCATCTTCTCATCGAGGCCGTCAAGGGACCCAAAGAAATGTCAGCGGACTCGATCAAGTAGTCAAAAGAGTTTGGGCGGTTGCACATGAAACAAAAAGTTGGAACGACGTTGCGATATCCTCCTATCCGATCATGCACCTAAGAGCAACACCCCGGTCTGACGTTACGGCTTTTCAGCACCCGCCGATGAATGATGCGTGTTTTAGTTGCAGGTTTGGCAAAAACGCCACCATGATGTGGCTGATCGCTTCGGCTTGCGCGGCTAAAATCGAGCATTTGTCTTGAACTCTTGAGTTCTTTGGTCTGCGAGGTACATGGTTTATTTCCAAGCACCACGTTTGATTTGGAATACCTCAAGCAAGATGCGTTGACAATACGGACAATATTCCTCTCTCAAAGTTTACTTGATAACGTCACAAATGTCGCGTGAGACAAGTGACCAGATGGCTAAATATAGCCGTCGCTCCCTCCGCGCCGTCCCCATTGCCTTCCTCCCCTATAATACGTAATGCGACTGGCGGAGATCCGGTTGGTGGCTAATAGACTAAATCCAATTGTTCTCCTCCAAAGCCTTTTCGCCATCTCACTTACTCGCAGTGATCTAATGTGTACACGGCTTCTCCGTGGTCAACCAGTCTCGCAGCAACGCATCAAAGGGCCCGTGCCCAAGTAACCTGAGAGAAGACGAACCTTGTCGGACCACCAAACGACCGGTCTCCCGTGTGGCTTCAATCTGATGCCTCATTTTTATCCCTTCCGAAACCAATATGTGTGGCAGTTTGATAGACGCTGAAAGATCCCTCAAGTCGTGGCTGATAGATCGCGATCAGCATGCTGCGCGTAGACAGGAGGCCATGCGGGACATGCAAGAAGAGATGCAGCTAGCTATACATGTAAGGTACAGGGTGTTGGGGATTTTCGATTTACCCTTTGGTGTGTCCTGCGTCGCAGCATCTGCACCCCATTCATTGCCTCGAGGTGCGACAAATGATATTGGAGAAGCAGTGGGTGATTCTACGCATCCAGGATGGCGAAAGACATGTGGGCTTCTCGCTGACGTGTTGGACCATCGACACCTTGTTCATTGATGCAATACGCAAACTGGCACGACCTTGAGATGGGCATCTCTGGCTTAACCTGTAGTTCATCCTCAGTGGCGCAGTCCGAGGAGCAACACTTCCACCAGGCGGAGCGTCCATTCGGACCACATTTCCAAAGTAGGAATTATCCGCTTGTCTGAGCCCTTCCTATCACACTGTGCCACGCTGGACTTCTCGGCTCCCATTCGGTTGAGGGGAGTGAAACCCAATGAGAAGCAGATTCAACTTGGGATACCCCTGAGTCTTCGACAAGCGAGTGGCTGCTCTAATCTCCTGCCTTGGTTTGCTTAGCCGATCACTTCTTGACACATGTAAGGGCAAGGCAGCAAACCCTCCATCGAACCAATAACTTGTGTTACGCAAGCCGTCGGTCAGTCGGTAACCAATTGGAGTAGGGAACCCAATGCTTGCAACAGGCGAATCACCGACCTGCATGAAATCCGCGCTGCCAGTACATGACTCGAAAGTCTGGTCGACAACTCGGCCTTTGCAAGAGGGCTTTGTGATATTACCGGTTAAGTACGGCGTCTGTCATCGTCACCGAGAACTAAGGAACAGTGATGCCACTCGGTCTGCCGTGGCTATGGCTGCATGTCGAGACCCAAGTCGGGCACGAGACATAAAGTACCGGACAGAATCCCATAGTCTTTGGTCCCGTACGACTATATCAGCATCAGAATTACGTGTCGATGACGACGGAGATCAGGGAAAAGTGCCCAAGACTTTTCGTGCGCATACGTGGATCCAGTTCGTCACGATAAGGAAATCAGGTACCGTCGACGAGATGCAGTTGTGCCTGTCCGCGTGGCTTATCTGTGTTTGAATCCAGTCCAGTGTTTCGAAATCATCGTCTTCTGTCAGTCGTTCCTTAGAATGAAGCGTAAACATGCACTGACTGTCATTGCGCAAGTGTCTGGGGGCGCTGGAGTGCGTCCATATGAGGCAGTAATATTTGCATTTCGGGCCTGTGTCAGAAAGAAATGAGCCGCCAATTAAGAAGACAAAAGTTCGTTCCAAAAAGCCCGACTACAAACTGAGCCACACTAGACCAAAGGTCATAGCACCCTTCACAGCGCCTTCATACGTGAGTGAGGACTTGCTGGACTCGAGGATACACATGCACGAGCCGCTCCCAGAACTCGGGATGATCTGTCATGGCAACTTGGGGATCCCAAGCCATTGCCACAAAGATGGTGTCGACTCCCGATCCAACCGGGGTCGTAAAAGTCTGGCATATCTGCAGACCGATGAGGAACGCAAATGCCATGATGACGGGGGTGAAAGTGCGCCCGTCGTTGTATGCCGGATGGGTGTATTCCAGGTATAGGTAAGCCAGCAGTGCCGAGACGTATGCCACGAAGATGCTTCCCATAGTCAGGACAGGGCCCACTAGGCAGTCGTTGACCAGGGCATCAATGCCACGATCTTTCATCATTGTCCACGTATCTTTGGCTGCCGGGATGTATGCCTTGCCGTATAGTGCGATGTGAGAGAACGCGTACCGGTTGATGAATTGGACAAGCCAGTCTAAAAGGCTGATGAAGCAGCCAAGAATGCAGAACATGATGGTTCCAATGATGTTACCGTCTGCGGCTTCATGCTGCTGGGCAATACTGCAGGCTTGTCGGAGCATGTTGATCAGTGCAACGATCAGACTACCAAATGAGATGGAGCCAAAAGAGTACGTCGTTGCCCGCCTCAGAGCTCCGGCGGTTGCGCCCCGAGGAATACCACCTGGCTTGCCGGCGCAGAAATACCACGAACCGTAGACGCCGGCAATGGTGGTGTGAATAGTGTTCTTGAGCCATTCTGTGATCCAGTAAGCCGCAAAGGTCACAAAAACCACGAGCCCGATAACCTTCCCGCTCGAGCAGCCTGCAGCCGGACATGACGGATTGGCTGAGCTGCCAGTATTGCCCGGCATGTAGGATGTGTAAATCGCAACCAGAGTGACAGAGAACCATGCTGCGAATGCAACACTAGCGATGCCACCAAGAAAGCTGACCAAGAATACGTGTACTCGCTTCATTCTTGCAATGTCCATTGTCTGTTGTAGCATCACCACGGCGAAAGGAATGCGCGGGATCCAGCTGATGAAGCAAATGACGGCAAAGACAGCAAAGATGGCAAAAACAATGCCTGCACCCCACAGACGTCGATACAGGTAGTAAACAGCAGTGCCAATTGCCAAGGCACAGTTGAGGATACCGGTCAGCCAGACGAATTGTTTTGTGAAGGCGCGAGCAGCGAGGAAGTAGGCCCAGGAGAAGACGAGTCCAACGCACAGGATAAAGGCGAAGAGCACAATGGTATTAGTGTCTAGGGAACTGCAAAAAGCCGTCAGTATATGGACAGAAAGTGGCACCTTCAACCAGATCTCTCAGAAGACGACAACAGCTTACA